CTATCCTTCCTTTTAGATTTCCAAAATCTTCACCTCGTATGTTCCGGGAGGATAGAGTCCGGGCGAATACCTGGATCTCGTACCGATAACTTCTTACCTTGACCAATAAATCGTCACAATCCACGTCCTCGACATTGGCGGGAATTGCGACCACTCTCCGCCGCTCGTTTTTGTTAGCCACGACGGATCTGAATTTCAACTGGCTTCCCTTTTGTCCAGTTTCAATCGTCACGTGATTATCTCTTACAAATCTGATTGGCTCTAATTCTCACGTCACAGTCAAGCGCGATTCCCATTGGCTCATTTAAATTCTTCCGCTTACTTGCTGTGATTTCGTCCGATTCTTTGCGTCGCGTCCTCGGTTTCGCGTCATTTTTTCTCGCCGCTGGAAGAGTCGGTGTCACGGAGCGCCTGGAATGTTTGAGTTTTGCATCCTCTTTATTCCCCTTATCGTTAATTTGCGAAGGAAATGCTATAGAAGAAAAGTGTCTTACAATGCTGCATTTTATTGGATGACAAAGTAAGATTCTTCATTTATGGTGTCAGGTGTCATTTTCTTTTCCAATACACACATAGATAAACGGACAGATAGATAGATAGATTGAGAGAGAAAAATGTGTGTATGTATGTATATAGATATAGATACAAATGTATATTCATTCGTTTATCTTTTATTTATCTATTTAGTCATTTATTCATTTGCTTAATTATCCATCTGCTTATTTATTCATAAATCTACTTACATATTTACTCATTTATTTGTAAATTTATTCATTTATCGGTTCCTTTTGTGTATTATTTAGTCTCCTCATTCCCCTCTTCCTTCACTTGCCCTCAATTCCACTTCCACCAACAAACACCGTCTCCTCCAGGTCCCCGTCCCGCCCTCGGCCGCCGGTCCTTCCCCTGCTCCGAAGCCCGAGAGGACCCCGAGGGAAGCGTGTCCCGAGCCCTTCACGGCCGTCGGCGAGCGCTGCCTGTACGTGAACGACAACTTCCTCACGTGGGACGCGGCGAGGGCCAGCTGCCAAGGACTGGCCTCGGGCTACGTGACCGACCTGGCCGTCCTGGACACGTGCGACGCCTTCTCGCTCCTCGCCCGCCACCTGGACGGCAGAAGTGAGTCGCCGGGCGCTTGCGGGTCGCAAGGGGGGGGGGTGACCCCTGTTGTGCTACGACAGTATTCACAAATTACTGAACACACACACTATATATATATATATATATATATATATATATATTATATATATATATATAATATATATATATATATATATATATATATATATATATATATATATATATATATATATATTATATATATATTATATATATATATATATATATATATATATATATATATAATATATATATATATATATATATATATATATATATATATATATATATACATATATATATATATATATATACTATATATATATATATATATATATATATTATATATATATAACACATATATAGCTATATATATATATATATATATATATATATATATATATATATATATATATGTGTGTGTGTGTGTGTGTGTGTGTGTGTGTGTGTGTGTGTGTGTGTGTGTGTGTGTGTGTGTGTGTGTGTGTGTGTGTACGCAAAGTACAAAAACAAGTAAAAAGAAAGATGGGAAGAACGAAAGATTTTTTTTTATACACTCACACATATATATATATATATATACATACATATATATACATATATTATATATATATACATATATATATATATATAATACATACATATATATATATATATATATATATATATATATATAATATATATATATATAATATATATGTGTGTGAGTGTATGAAAAAAATCTTTCGTTCCTTCCATTTCTTTTTATTTTGCTTTTGTACTTTGCGTACAAGTTTTTCCTCCGGACGCAACATTTTTTTTCTTTCTCTCTTTCTTCTCTAACAGATCTCTTTTCCGCGTCACCCATTTTTCCTCTATTAATGTCATTTTGTCTCCCGCTCTGCAGACGGGTCGCAATACGATTATCCCCCTTTTTTCTTCATAATTATTTTCCAAGCGTCATCTCCATATTCCTTCCTGTTGCGCAGACTCGGCTTACCAGGACTGGCTGTGGATCGGCGCCAGGGACTTCGAGGAGACCGGCGCCTTCAGGTGGGTCTCCGGCGAGTACGTCAGCCCGGGCGTGCCCCTGTGGTGCCCCGGACAGCCCAACGCGTTCGAGGGCAGGCAGCACTGCGCCATGCTCTGGGGCTCCAACTTCTACTACGTCGCCGATGACGACTGCAGCGACATTCGTAAGTCGGTGTGCGAGGTCGGCCTTTAGGTTCGTGACGCACGGATCGTCAGGAGGCGGCCCCGTGCGCTGGCCTTGTCTCCGGCGCCAGGAGGAAGGGACACAGCTGGCCCATGGCTTCGTTTGCTGATGGTAGTCGGAATATGGTAATTGGTGTCAGTATATTTAGAAGGTTCTGGACCTGTAATAAAGAGATCATGATGCGAA